ATATATAGACATTTAAAAACATATTTGTCAAAAGATATACAACATATATTCATAGTAGTAATATTTAATACAAATTTGGAAAATAACTCTAATGTCCATCAATAACTAAAAAATAGTGACATATTCATGCAATGGATTGCTATATGGCAAGGAGAATGAACTATTAAATCTTTGTGCTGCAATATGAATACATCTCACAAACAATGCTGAGGGAAAGAATCAAGACACACAAAAAGACAGGCTGTAGAGTTTCATACATATAAAAGAAGCAGCAGCAGCAATAGTAACCTCTGATGTAAGAAGTCAGGATAAAGATTATTCTGGAATTGACAGTGACTCCAAAAGGGTCAGCATAATGTGGAACACTTCTGGAATGCTGGGGAAGTTCTGTTTCTGCATCAGGTGGTGGCTCCACAGACGTGCTTTTTTTGTGTGAAAATTTGAGTCTAACATTTAAATTTGGTGTACTTTTTCTCGAAGTAAGTCATAGTTCAGTAAACATTTATACCAAATAACTTAAAGATAAAATGCAAGTTACAATTGATAAATATCCAAATTTGAAATCATATTATTTCAATAAATGTAATTTTATGCATTTATTTTTAAATTTTAAATATTAATGTGTATTTTACAAAATATTGCTATTTGCAATTTAAATGTTCAATGGTCATTTCCTTGTTAATGATTTTACGTGTCTTTCATGTTCTGTGTAGAGGACACATATACAATTTCATGATAATTTCAACTCTTGAGAGTTGCAAAATGTTTCTTTTTTGGCTTTGTGTAACATTAGTGAATGTGTAACTCCAACCCATGAACTGCAATACCAAAAGAAAGAAGTTCTGCACTATTTATGTGATATGACATTGTGCAAAACCTATTGCTCTGGTCCTTTCTAAAGGAAAGATTTGTCAAGTTAATTAATGTGTCCTCTATTTTTCCTTTGCACTTCTGCTACTCAAATCCTCCTTACGCTCAAGAGCAAAGTCCATCTCCAACAAAGGGAGCAGTCCAATCTATACATTTCATAATTAATGTGGTCACCTTTTTGGTTTAAAGCATAGGCCAAGAGATGTGGAGAATGTTTTTCTGGAACCTGAAAGGTGTAGCAAAGTATATGTTTAGTGCAATGAGTTGTCATATGGCAGCAGTGAGTGCTGCCTTCTGCCAGCAGATGTATGTGTTGGAGTGTGTTCACACAGGCTCCCAAGAACTGTTAAATTTTCAAAAATTTTGCAAGCCAATTTTTAACATAGACACTACTAGAAATGGGACTTTATAAACATATTTAAATAAATTATATTAAAAGTAAAGGAATATTCAAAATTCATCAATTCCTAAATACTTTAATACAGTTTGCTGCTTTCTATGCTCTTGAGATTATCTCATCTAACCGCTGAGATGGGGCTATCATATAATGGTGTGCTACTGTGCATCTCCTTCCACACTAGTAGCTTGAAATTAGCCATATTGGGAGAATATACATTAAAAAAACCGGGCAAATACTATAAATCAGGGTTCGATTTACAGTTTTGTTGTCTAGACTTTAAAAAGTCATAGAGAAAATGTTAATAACTTGCATTAAGCCTAAAAACGTGTCTTGTCTGTAGCCACTACCTTGCTAGTAGAAAAAAATTGGGAAAATATTATTCCATTATTCCAAACCTATTATCTGATTCGGCAAAGAAGTTGCTCACATCACTGATGAACAAGTGAAGTTCAAATACATGTCTGTGTCATTTCACTGCCTTATTAATGTAAATGAAAATATCAACCAACGTTCATGTCAGGACTACACTTGTTAGTGAATACACTGGTAAGCTGGCTTCATATACAGGAGTTCAGTAAAAGTCAATGAAAACATTCTGTGAAAAGCAATTGGCTATACAGAATTACAATAAATAATATTGAAATAATATTGAATATTTTATTATTATTTGTAAGTTGTGTGTTATACAACTTTATATCAATAAAATGTATGATAAACATATTAGCATGTGTATATATACATATACACATTTGTGTGTGTATCTATATAAACATATACATATATGCATTTTGGGAGCCTATTAATCATTTGCCATCATAACAATTAGAGACACCCAAGTGTTATCTAATAAATTAGATCTAATAATACTTTTTTGTGATTGTCATGTAAAGGACCTTCCAAAGTCATGGCCAAGAGAAGGATTCCTTTTGACAGGATATAGGATTGGTACCCATTATGAAGGTTCAGTAACTCTCCTAAGACCCATAATTAGTAAGTGGCCATAGGAGGCCCTAAAACCAGAAAGTCTTAACTCCAGAGGCTACTTTTTGACTCTACAATCTTTCATGAGAGCACAGCATTCATCTCAGGAAAGCACAAATGTTTTCATATTAGAAAATAAGAGCAAATAAGACATTTTTTAATTGTACATGCATTTATAATAATAAAAAATTCTTGCAAATAGAAAAGAAACAACTTTATAGTGTTTAACTACTAAAACTTACAACAAGCATCTCACCGATATTTAGTAATATACTAAATACTTACAAGCATTTTATTTAATATGAGATGTAAAACAATACTTTAAAAAATTGCACATGCATTTAAAATAATAAAAACTTCTTGAAAATAGACAGGAAATAACTTTATAGTGTTTAATAAAACTTATAGCAAGCATCTCACTTACATTTAGTAGCACTTTATTTAATATTAGGTACTGGCCGGGCGCGGTGGCTCACGCCTGTAATCCCAGGACTTTGGGAGGCCGAGGCGGGCGGATCACAAGGTCAGGAGATCGAGACCACGGTGAAACCCCGTCTCTACTAAAAATACAAAAAATTAGCTGGGCGAGGTGGCGGGCGCCTGTAGTCCCAGCTACTTGGCAGGCTGAGGCGGGAGAATGGCGTGAACCCGGGAGGCGGAGCTTGCAGTGAGCCGAGATCACGCCACTGCACTCCAGCCTGGGAGACACAGCGAGACTACGTCTCAAAAAAAAAAAAAAAAAAAAAAAAGAATATTAGGTACAAAACAAGATTTACCACTATCATCCACAGTAATCAATACTTTGTTGGAATTAGTTAAGGCTTTATGAAAGCAAGTACAAATGAGCAGTTTAAAAATTTTAATGTAATAATAAGTGTATTTGCTTTATGCAAATATTATATTATTGTCTACTAGAAAATCCAAAATACTAAGCCAATGGTAGTATCACTAAGGAGTGGGCAAAGTTCTTAGGGAGGCAATATCAGATACTAGTAAAGATTTCACGCTGGACGCAGTGGCTCACTCCTATAATCCCAGCACTTTGGGAGGCCGAGGCAGGCGGATCACAAGGTCAGGAAATCGAGACCATCCTGGCTAACACGGTGAAATCCCGTCTCTACTAAAAATACAAAAAAAAATTAGCCAGGCATGGTGGCGCACAAGTGTAGTCCCAGCTACTCGGGAAGCTGAGGTAGGAGAATCGCTTGAACCTGGGAGGCAGAGGTTGCAATGAGCCAAGATTATGCCACTGCACTCCAGCCTGGACAACAGAGCAAAATTCTGTCTCCAAAGTTTTTTTATTTTTTATTTTTTTTTAAAGTAAAATTAAGATAAAATAAAATGGATTTCAAGCTCTGGAGACAAATTGCATGCATTCAAATAAAGCTTTACTCTTATATGACTTAGCACACGTTACTTAAGCTCTTTGTACCTCCGTTTTCTTATTTGCATAATGGAGATAATAATGGTATCTTCCCATAAGAATATATAATAAGTTGATATATGGATGGAACTTTGACAACATCTGTCACATAGTAACCACCATGTAACTTATTGATTGTTATTTTTATTATTAAAAACCCACAATAATATTCAAAAGTGAAAATAAATAACACACCCATGGTTATAAGAATGTGGAAATTCATATCATAAAAATGTCAATTTTCTACAAGTTAGTCTACAAATTTCATGCAATTCCAATTCAAATCCCAAAAGTGATTTTCAAAGCTGACAACTGAACCACAAATGTATATGGAAGAATATAAAGAAATGTACAACCAAGACAAATTTAAAGCTACAGCATTAGAAGGAACATCTCATCCTGTCAATATCAGAACACTATATTAGTACCAATTGTATGGTACTGGCACAGGAATAGACAAGCAAATAATGAACAAATCAGAGAGCCATGATTCATATCCTCATATATAAATATTCATATCTAATAGCAGTACCTTTACAAATAATTAGGGAAATGCCACAGTATCTATTCAATGGATTATGTTCGAACAATTGATTACATGATTATATGAGAAAAAAAAGTAAATTTGTTCTCTATATTGGTATCATATAAAATAAATTGTATTTACAATCAAACTCCTGAATGACAGCACTCAGAGATAGAACACTGTATCAGGTCAAACTCAATCCTACATTAGTTCCTCATAAAGGTCTATAAATAAAAAAATAATCCTTCTCCTACTGCTAAAATATTCTCATTTTATGTTAAGGAGAGAGTCAACAGAAAGTTGAGAGAAGTGATTAAGATATTACCTTATGATTCCATGTATATGTTTTGAAATTCATGACACTCTAGGAGAACTGTAAATCTACTTTTGGGCATTTGTAGTTACAGGTGAAATTCAGATAGATCCCCATTAGTGAATATTTGTTTTTGTTTTACAACATTTTTTCCTTTCATCTGGAAGATGAAACTCTATTTTGTAAATAAGACTGACTCATTGTGTGGTTCTGATGTGTCTCCTACCACAAAATTAGGAGTGTGTCATGAAATTTTCCAAACTCATTGCTTTGGACATGGACATATGACTCAGGGTGGATCAATTACAGTCCTCTCCAGACTTATCTGGAAGAGATATTGGAGAAGCAGACCTCCACTTGCCACAATATGTGGATTTAAGGCATTCTGAGACTGAGTCAGCAAGTTGCCATCTTCACCATAGAGAACCTATGCAGAAAAGAAATCAACATAGAGAAAATCTAAGCCAAAGGAAATGAGTAGGACAGATTCCTGATGATATAAAATGCACTTTAATAGATCATGACATAAGCCAGAAATATTCCTTTATTTAGCAGTTTTTATGTTGAATTTAATTATTTCAGTTAAAACTTACTATTTTCACCATAAAAAATAATTTGGGCGATTTGAACATTGAATTAGGACCACATAGTTATAACAGTATTATTATAAAATTGATTACAAACAATAATGTAAAGCTAGAAGTAAATGATGTTTCATTCAGGATAAATTCATTAATACATGTATTTACTGTTACTTCTTCAATAATCTTGCTTTTATTTGGCAAGATCAACTAGCTACTGCAACAAATGAACTCAAAATATGAAATAGCACATATTGGAAATGTATTGCTTGTTTACAAGAGTAAACAGATCAGAGAACAATCCTCCTCCAAATGGCCAACAGATACTCTGCCATCTTCACCCTATGCCATCTAAGACTTCTCTGGCAGTCTTCTCCATTCCACTAGACAGGAAGCAAACAAAGCTTAAATAACCATACATGGGAATCTTTAATGAGTCAAGTCTAGAAATGACATATATCAACTATGTTTATACTACATTGGTTAGACCTCAGGAAATGTCTACAGAAAAAAGCAAGAGAAGCTAGGAAAAGTCTATTTCTAACATCAATTAGAGGAGAATAAGGATATTGGTGAGCAGTAAGCAAGTTCTGTACAAACAGTTATTGTAATAATAAATATTCATGTGTACCTGTTCCCTCAGGTAGTATATGCTCACCCCATGGCAGACAAAACTAAGTCCCATCTATTTAGTATAATCAGCTCAAAATTCAGGATCTGTGGGTATTGAACACTCCTCTCCATCATGACTGGGAGTGGTTGTTGTGGTCCTGCAAAGCATGATATAAAAACAATCAGTCTTACGTATGTTGTCAGTGGTAGAGCAGGGATAAGATAACTATAGCAGAAAAGTAACATTTAAGAAAGGGAAAAAAGAACACGGAACACACCCCTCTTAATAATAACCATACAATCCTGCTGGATAGGTCTTACAAAGCACCCCTACTGAGACACACCTGATTTGCTCTACTGTGGGGAAAGTTCTTTAATGAGACCCACATTCCTGACCAAAAGTTACTTCCTTGTTTATTGTTCTCCATGACCTCAGGTTCTGCTCCCTGGGAAACACTTGCTTGTTCTTTACCCTTGGGAACTATCCATCTTACACTGGTTGTTTCTTTCTTATGAAAATGTAGGAGCCAGAGGATTGTTTTGAGTGCATTTTTCCTCGTAGCTCAGGAGTTTTTTGAGCTAGGAGGAGTTCTCCTAGCTCAGGAGAATTTTGAGGAAATTGAAAAAACAATTTCCTCAAAAACTTAATAGACTTTGGATGTATTTCTTTCAAGTCAATTTCATGTGCTAATAAGCCAATCATAAAGATCCTTCATAGACAAAACTCTAGAGTCTATTTTTTTTTCTCCTTTGCCCCTTTCAGTAGATCATTATTTCAAATTACCAGGGATAGTTACTAGAAAATAAGCTTAAGTAGGAATATCATACACTGAATCTGGTGATTATTTGAAGGCTTATTCAAATTATCTGAGAAATTTTAAGACCTCCATCTTTTATGTAAATCTCTTTTCAATTTGATTTCATAGTTTTTAAAATCTAGAAATAGGTGTTTCCAATTATATGTACTTAATAATTTTTCTCTATTCACTTTTATTTTTTCTGTACATTGGTCATGTTTTCTTAAGATTTTGCTTTTCGTATAGCTCCCTGCTAAAAGAAAGAAAGAATATAACATAGGCTCTTTAAACAATAACAGACATACACCAAAAAATGACCAATAGACATAAATTTTGGTTGGGCTAATAAAAAAAGAAAGTAGGGCAACCTATGTCAGGTGGAAGGATAGACACATAAATAAGATATATTAGAGATTTAAATATAATCATATTGTATAATAAATATATATTATATTATTATAAATATAATAAATGTATATACTTAGAGATTTAAATATAATCATATTGTATAATAAACAAATTTTATGTCAACAGTTTTGAAAAGTTAAATGAAATTGATTTTATATTTTTTAAATATCAAACTGATTAAGAAAAAAACCTCACTTGTACTATAATAACTATTAAAGAAATTAGCATAGTAATTTAAAAAAAGAAATCCAAAAATCACCAGGCCTAGATTTTTTTTTTTTTTTTTTTTTTTTTTTTTTTGAGACGGAGTCTTGCTCTGTCGCCCAGGCTGGAGTGCGGTGGCCCGATCTCGGCTCACTGCAAGCTCCGCCTCCCGGGTTCATGCCATTCTCCTGCCTCAGCCTCCCGAGTAGCTGGGACTACAGGCGCCCACCTCGCCCGGCTAGTTTTTCGTATTTTTTTTAGTAGAGACGGAGTTTCACCGTGTTAGCCAGGATGGTCTCGATCTCCTGACCTCGTGATCCGCCCGTCTCGGCCTCCCAAAGTGCTGGGATTACAGGCTTGAGCCACCGCGCCCGGCCAGATATTTTTAATAGGCCAATTCAAATAGACTTTCAAGGATAAGATATTTCAATATAGAGAGCAATTTAGAGACCAGATAGAGTGCATATACCTTACTTTGAAATTGATACAAAAAATAGACGTTTCTCATTTATGAACATACCTATAATAATCCTAAAAATAGTATTAGAAAATCAAACCAAGAGTAACATAAAAAAATGCAACATGACCAAGTTGAGTTTATTTTACAAATATGAATGTACAGTAATATATTAAAAGAAAAAAATATAAAATCATCCTAATAAATGTAGAAAAGTTACTTGCTGAAATTTACACATATTAATATTGATAACAAGTGAAAATTTAGCACACTAGGAATAGAAAGACACACAGGCTGACAAAAGTGATGTTCAAATAATCACAATAAAGCAAACCTTATTTTTAATGAGAAACAGTTACTATCATTAACTCTGAAGTAATATAAAATATAAGTATGCTTGTTATCATCACTTTTATTCAAAATCTTACAGAGGTCTGCCACAAAAAAAGGGGGAAAGAAAATCACTGGAAAAAAAAAAAAGAAATAAAATTTTGATTATTCAAAATTCATATAATTATCAGAATTGAAAACTAAAAAATAATCAGATAAGTTACTAGAAGTGGTAAGCATTCATTACCAGGGCTTATCAAAAATTAAATGTATTTCAAGCATGAAGTAGCTAGGTAATTTATTTTAAATAGCATTATAAATAGTAACACACAGTGTGAAATGCTAAAAATAAACTTAACAAAAGAAGAAACAACCATAATGTAGATGTTAAGATAATATTGATAGAGAGTTAAGAATCCCTAAATAAAGTCTTATTTATATTCATGGAAAACAAGGAGAAATACACTATTATGAAGATGTCAATTCTCTCCCAAGAAAATTATAGAATACATTAAATTCTAATTTAAATTCTAGTATTTTCCCCTCTGTAACTGGAAAATGTATTATAAATTTCATACGAAAGAGTAAAATGCCAAAAACATAGCCAAGATACTCTTTTTGGAACTCTTGGGTTCAAGCGATCTTCATGCCTTGGCTTCCCAAAGTGCTGGGATTATAGTCTGAGCCACCACGTCCAGTCCTGATAGTCTTTTATATTTTAAATTTTTAGTTCAGGAGTACATGTGCAGATTTGTTACACAGGTAAACTTCTGTCATGTGGCTTTGTTGTACACATTATTTCATCACCCAGGTATTAAGCTCAGTGCCCATTAGTTATTTTTCCTGATCCTCTCCCTTTTCTCAACCTCCACCCTCTAAAAGGCCCCAATGTGTGTCGTTCCCCTCTATATGCCCATGTGGTCTCATCATTTACCTCTCACTTACAAGTGCAAGCAGTACTTGGTTTTCTGATCCTGCATTAGTTTGTTAAGAATAATGGTCTCCAGTTCCATCCATGTCCCTGCAAAGGACATGATCTCATTCTTTTTATAGCTGAATAGTATTCCGTGGTGTATATGTACCACATTTTCTTTATCTAGTCTATCATTGATGGGAATTTAGGTTGATTCCATGTCTCTGGTATTGCGAACAGTACTGCAATGCACACATGAATGCATGTGTCTTTGTAATAGAATGATTCACATTCCTTTGTGTATATATGCAGTATTGGGTTCTGGGTTTGCTGGGTCAAAAGCATTTCTATCTTTAGGCCTTTGAGGAATCACTGCACTGTCTTCCACAGTGGTTGAAAGAATTTACACGTCTACCAACAGTGTATGAGCATTCCTTTTTCTCTACCACCTTGCCAGCATCTGTTATTTTTTGACTTCTTAATAATAGCCCTTCTGACTGGTGTGAAATGGTATCTCATTGTGGTTTTGATTTGCATTCCTCTAATGATCAGTGATGTTAAGCTTTCTCTCATGATTGTTGGTTGCATGTATGTCTTCTTTTGAAAAGTGTCTGTTCATGTCCTTTGCCCACTTTTTAATGGGGTTGTTGGTTTTTTCCTTGTAAATTTAAGTTCCTTAGAGATTCTGGTTATTAGACTTTTGTCAGATGCATAGTTTGCAAAATTTTTATCCCATTTTGTAGGTTGTCTGTTTACTCTGTCGCTAATTTCTTTTGCTATGAAGAAGCGCTTTAGTTTAATTAGATCTCATTTGTCAATTTTTGCTTTTGTTGCAATTTCTTTTGGCAACTTTGTCATGAAATCTTTGCTCCTGTCTATGTACTAAATGATATTGCCTAGGTTGTCTTCCAGGGTTTTTATAGTTTTGGGTTTTACATTTAAGTATTTAATCCATAAGATAATCTTGAACAAACAAAATGTTAGAGATGGTGTTATGGTCTTTTAGCCATAAAGAGTTTTTATTTTAAAAAGTCATTATTAAGGAATATATTATTGATGAAAGGTGATCAATGAAACAGAAATTAAACACAGAAGCATATGTCCTTAATATATGAAAAGAAAATGGCATTTTACATCAGTGGAAAATTTAGGTTCTATTTTACAAATAGTACTAAAAGAATTAATTTTCCCTATGATTTTTGGGATGCTTTCACAGTCGTTGAAATCACATACATATATAAACATATACATATAATCATTAATCAATGATTATAGTAATATACAGAAAATACGAAATTAAAAGAAAAATAAAAGGAAAGTAAATGTCACTTATTAGCATAAACTTGAAATAAAAATTAATGAAAACATCACAAGAAAGACAAAATCAAAACTCATGGTTAAATTTAGGTACAAAATTTAGGTACAAAATATAGACAAACTGAGGTCAATCAAAGTTAAAAGACAATAACAATAAAATAGCTATGCCAAAGTTGGGTTCATTCCAGGAGTGCAAGTATGGTTATTTATTTTTACAAATCAATTAATATAATGCATCACATCAGCATATTAATGAAAGGAAATCATATGTTACTCTCAATAGAAATGGTGATAAAATTAAACATCCATCCATAACTCTAAAAAAATCTATTGGCAAAGTAGAAAAATAAATTGACTTCCTAAACTTGATAAAAAGCATGCAAAAACAAACAGCCGACAGAAAAAAAAAACATAATTAAGACATTTTCTCTAAGATCAAGGACAAGACAAGGTAGCTGGTGATTGCCTTTCCTATTCTGAAGAGTATAGGGGTATAAGCTATGGCAGTAGGCAAGAACAATACACAAATGCTTAAAAATGGGAAGAAAAATACTAGGCTGTTATTCAAAAATAAGAAAATATGCTATATCATAAATACAATTAAAACCACAGATAAAATACTATAACTACACAAGGTTTTATAAAGGTTGTAGAGTACAAACCAATATATCATGAAGAGCATCCATAGAACAAAATGATTTCTTACACATCAGTATTTTTTTTAATAAGCAAATTAGCAAAGTGTGTAAACAGACTATTTACAGAGAAAGAAATATAAAGGGCCAGTATATGTATGTGTGTGTATACATATATATACATTTAAAATATATATATATATATATTTCAAATGCTCAAATTTACCAATCATCAAGGATATACAAATTAAACCAATATAAATATTTTTCACATATTGACTGATAATACAACTAAGGTCATGTATTGGTAAAAATTTATAGAAACGTGCATTCTAATACATATTTGATGAAAATGTCCATTAGTAAAATCCATTTGAAGGATAATTAGGTGGAACATCATAAAATTAGAATGCCCCTAACTTTAGATAAAGCAATTCAAATTTCTGGAAATCTATCCAACATTAACATTTACACAAGAGCACATAGACATATTCATTCATGCATGAATGCATTCATTCCTTACTAAGTGCTCCATGTACTAGAACCTATCCTAGGTACTGCAGAATTAAAAGAGAATAAGACAGAGAAAGACTTACCCTAACATGCTGGAAAGTTTATATACTAGAAGAATATGGATGCAACGAATCAATAAAGAGCATAATAATTAATAGGATCATAAAAAACTAAAAGAAATAATGACTAACAGTTTTCCTTTTCTGAGGCATTAATAAATATATTGATGAGCAGAGGACACCATCATTCCTGAACAGATTGATGGCAATTGTCTTGTGAGGGTATGCAACGGAATAAGTTCACTGTTCATAGTGGGAGAAATGAAGCCCCAACAGAGGCCATGTGAGAAAAGCATATGGAATTAACACAAATGACGAAGGAAAATAGGTCATTACATTACACTGACTTGTAGAAATTTGCAGCACCCTCCCTCCCCATCTTAGTCTATTCACGTGTACTGACTCCCTGCTGCCCAGACTATAATCTTCCTAAGAACAAGAGTTATGTCTGTCTCTCTTGTTTCTCTAAACCCAGTACTTGGCATATCTTAGTAATAAATAACTTCATGTATTTACATAATTATTAACTCATGTAGGGTTTACTGTGTGTGCCAGCCATAATTCCTAATGTTTTAAAAATAAGAAATGAAAACTCATTCATTTGCACCTCATAACAACTTGATGAGGTTGCTTTATTTTTATCCCCCTTTCACAATTGAGGAAATGGAAGCATAGGGAGTTAAAGTAACTTAATCAAGGTCCAGTGTGGTAGAGACAAGACTGTGCACCCTAGACATCTGGCTATAAAGAACCTGCTTTTAACCACTATTCTATGCTGATTAAGAGATTGCTGAACTCACTTTCTTGCAAACAGTTAAACTTCCTGGAACTGCATTGACAGAAACCTTTCATTCTGGAAGAGAGCCTCTGCTTAATGTAAAGACTCATTCAAGAGTTTTCCCTCTCCATCAAGTGGTAGGGGGGAGGGAGAGGCTTGCCTCCCATGGTACATTTACATTGCAACCTTTAGAGAAATTATTAGCTGATTTAAAATGGAAATGAACAAGGCAGCCTAAAACCTCTTGACTTGGAGTTTAAAAAAAAAACATTGCTGTATTCATTTAGCCTAAGAAAGAACAACACCATAGTTAAATTTAAGTATATCCAAAGAAAATTCCAATTAAATTATACTGATGGAAATTTGAATGATCATCCCATTAAATTTTTTGAATATAACTTTCCTCACTAGCCAGTAAAATATTTTTCATTCAGAGGAGTTGAGTGATCTGTCTTTTGAATAATAGTAAATACAGCTCACATTTATTTTAGAATGTCAGAAAACAGCTCGGTTGACAATATTAATAGAGTAGAAAATCCATGATCGCAGAAGTTTCATGTCAAATATGACAACCTTCTAAATTACTTGTCAAAGTTGACCTGCACACAAGCTTAGATGAACTAAGTTAGGCAAGTTAACAGTGAGTGTAAAAGTGAAATACATCTCAGAATTTCAATGATAGTGATCACTGAACAAAACTTGGGATTGAAAGAACTACAAATAGAGGAAAAACTCATCTATTCCTGTAACTATTTAACAATGAAAAGCATATTTAGACCAAGTTCAGAGAAAAGAGACCTTTATAACATATTTAATGTAACCATGCAAATAAACACAATGAGCATTTGTTTTGATTTACTCAGACAAAAGGAAGTATTTTCAATAGTGATGCCAACAAAAAATCTGTATTGTAAAAATCAAAGATGATACTTACAATTAGGAATATTAACTCATTTCCTAAATTCAAAAACATTTTTGAAATCTGGGACTAGTTTTATGAGATAAACCATCAAGGAATTATTAGCAGCAGCAGGTACTGGTATTCCTCATAGCTGTATAATAGCTAGCTGTGCTATACACCCACAAGGTCTATAGTTAGAGGGAAATAAAAAAGTAAAGTAAATAGCTGTCATTCATTGAGCAGATTCTAACAGCCATGATATACTGTACTAGCTATTTTAAAATATCATTTCATTTAATGCTCAGAAGAAACTCCAGTAGACAAATAGATTAGTGTACATACTTCAGTATGCTAGTTCGTTATAATTTTCCAGCGTTGGCAAGGAAATTTTACTTTATAAACAATTCTGGATCAGAAAACACATTGTCTACCTACTGCATACTTCCTGTACCACAACAAAGAGTCTAAAATGCATTGATATTCAGTAAATATTCTTAGTATATTAAAAACTTGTTTTACTATATTAAAGTCCTTAAAGAAGGGTATCAATATTTTATATATGGCCTTTTAGTCCTTCAATTTCTCAATTCAAATAATAAAGAACAAGTTATAGCTTACATCCTTTTTCAAAGAGAATTAAGAGACAAAGCCGATGTAGTAGCACTTGGCTGTAATCCCCAATACTCAGGAATCCAAAGCAGGAGGAATGCTTGGGTCCAGGAGTTTGAGGCTATAGTGCACTGTGATTGCACCTCTTAAGAGCCATTGCACTACAGCCTGGACAACATCATGAGAACCCATCTATTAAAAAAAGACAACAGAAAGAAACTTAAGATATAAACAATGTATTTGCAGGTAAAAATACTTTAGTTATAGTTTTCTAGATGACTTTAACAAGCATTTATATAGGTCCTATTATATAAATGCTGGTCACTATTCTTGGCGCTAGAATCTACCTACATCAGGACTTCACATCTAGTATTGGCATGCGTGTCCATCCATGCATGTATATATGTATTTTGGGGAAAGGGATACAAAACTAATAAAGGGATACAAAGCTAATACTCATCAAATAAAACAACATGTCTAATATATGTATGGTTGAGTAAACTTTAGTATATTAATTATTGCTCTTTTCCCTCTCCCATATTGTTACCTTTTTTCTGCCTCTTCTTCAAGCAAGTAGTAAGCCTCAAGCCTCACGTATTTGGAATAGGTATATAACTAAAAATAAATTAAAGTTAGCTTGTCCGAATTCTGAAAATTTGTTTTGTAAGTTCTATACCTACTGAGCATAATAGTTTTTGGAACAAGATAAAAAGAGTCTTGGAAAAGCAGGAATTAAGTTGAGGTTCCCCTTAAACTATTGTTTGGTGGGGCCCAGAGGTACAGATCCAAACAGTAATGGGACATTGCTTCAAGGCCTCAAAGAATGGTCGTGGGCTGGTCACCAGGCACAGCAGAGATTTGACACCTCAAGCATGGCATGAAAACAGCTAAAAAGTGTTAGTCGAATAAACCACTGTAAGCACAGCCAGTGAGAATGTCAGTGTGGACCATCACCAGTCATCAGAAACTCCTGTCCATTCCCTGGGCACAAAGTAGGCATCTCAGATTCTGAACGGACATTAGGTTGGGGAAGGAGAACCTACCACATTGGAGATATAATTTCTTGTAAATTTAGAAAGTCAGAGTATAATAGTAAAATCAGTTTTATTTAAAGGAAATAAAGTAATACTTTAAACACACCTTAGTTTGCAAACTGTAATAAATATCTGACTGGCTGTGAGATAATAAAAGTATTTGTGAAGTACATACAATGAAAAAGAAAAGCAAGTGATTAATGTATCACAGGGAAAGTGACATCTGAGTAATGTTTGGAAGATGAGTGAAAGCTTCCTTAGTAGAGGTATTACACATGCAAAGTTAGACATAACTCTTAACACCATACTTTGACCTAGATATCATCAGAAATCCATTAGTGTAGCGCTGGAATGTAAAAATTCACAAGCGACTGATCATAAGAGAGGTGAAGTTGAGAGAAAAGCAAGATGTATTGAATGAATAGGATAATAATTTTCAGTAGCAGTGGTTCTCAAAGTATGGTCAAAGGACTCCTAGATATTCAACAATTTTTCAGTGGATTCACAAGGTCAGAACCATATTTCTTATAATAATAAAGCATTATTTGCTTTTAACACTCTTTTTCTCATACAAGAATGCAGAGGAAGTTTCTAAAGGCTACATGACATATGACATCACAACAGACCAATGCAGAAGGGGATAAAACCCCGTGAATCTCCTATTGAGGCAGACATTAAAGAGATTTGCAAAGATGTAAAACAATGCCACTTTTCTCACTTTTTTTTTTGTTTCAAAATTAACATTATTTTCCATAATATTTATGTTAATATACAATAAAAATGTTTTGGAAATGTTTGTTTCAATTTCTAATATAGTAAACACTGTTTATCTAAAACAAACTTTAAAAAGTGTTTGGGGTTGGTCTCAACAACTATTAATAATGTAATTTCAAACCAAAAAGTGTGAGGACCCATACTGAAACTTAATAAGAACTAAGTTTAGAGGCTTCATATTTCTTAATGCTAATATAACTAGTATGATAAAAGGAAAAACATAAATAGTCATCCTGGTTATTATACTTGACTATTGAATTGGTATGGGTAAACGGTGTCAATACATTGATAGTTAAGACAGCGATGAAGGCAGGTGATAAAAATGTAAAATGGAGCTGAAAAGTAGTATAAATAATATTCGTTTAAAAGTAATGAAGTTTTAATCAAATATGTCATTTCTATTAAAATAGGCTGTCATGGCTGTTTCCTCACTGCAATTATTACTGCTAAAGAAAGAGAGGAGGAGGATGAGAAGGTAGAATAAGAGGAAAAAAATTAAGCTTTTGCATGCTGATTAGTACTTTAAATATTAGGCTGATCATCATAAAGCATAAAGAGTAAGGAGAAAACACTTGTTTTTAGTGTTCAAAATGAATATTCTCTAGGATAAATTAATTGAGCCAAAAATAGCCTGTTCCAAAAGCTTACGTTAGGAAATGCTACATGAGGGCAAGAAATGTTTGAATATTTGATACCCGATATGGTTTGGATATGTCTGCACTCAAATCTCATCTACAATTGTCATCCTCACGTGTTGAGGGAGAGACCTGGCAGGAGGTGATTGGATCGTGGGGGTGGTTCCCCCCATGCTATTCTCTGATGATAGTGAGTTCTCAGGAGAATATTTGCCTTGCTTCCCCTTTGCCTTTCACCATGACTGTAAGCTTCCTGCGGACCCTCCAGCCATGTGGAACTGTGAGTCAATTAAACCTCTTTTGTTTATAAATTACCCAGTCTCAGGCAACATCTTCTTGGCGGTGTGAAAACAGACTAATACAAAACCAATACAAAATTAATATAGATGTTTAATTTCATAAAAAAAATTGTCATTACTGAATATGACCACCCTTAGGTTAGCAATTTTATAAATATTTCTAACACCATTATTCTGAAGAGTGGCCATACTGGTTTATGGCTTAATAACTCAAGGACTATTTTACTAACCCAGGTATCAAAGAATCTAACAGTTAATTTGATTTGGAACAAATATGGTTATTTGTAATAATTTTACAACATAATAGACAACAAAAATTGCTCAGTTCAAACAAAAACTAGGATAGAGAATATACAATCTTGGTTAATGTTTTCATCGTTTTGTAGAAATGCTCATAAATAAGTCTATACATTATATATCTATAAATAAATACACTAAGACAACAATGCAATACCACCACCTAGGAGATGCCACACACCTATTAGAATGGCCACAATCCAGAACACTAACAACACTAAATGCTGTTTACTATGTGGAACAACAGAAACTCTCATTAATTGCTGATGTGAATACAAAATGATACAACACTTTGAAAAACAGTTGTTTGGTGGGTTCTTATAAAACTAAACACACTCTTTCCACACAATCCAGAAGTCATGCTCCCTTGGTATTAATCCTAAAAAGTGCAAAACTTATGTCCACACAAAAATATACTCAAAGGTGTTTATGTTAGCTTTGTTCATAATTGCCAAAATGTAGAAGCAACTAAGATGTCAGTCAGCAGGTGAATAGATGAGTAAATGGTGGCACATCCAGCCAAAGTAATGCTACTCCGTGCCAAAAAGAAATGAGCTATTAAGCCATTAAAAAAAAAAAAAAAAAGGAGGAAACATAAAAGCATTTACTAAGTAAAAGATGCCAGTCTGAAAAGGCTATTCACTCTTTAATACTAATTATTTGACTTTAGGGAAAAAAGAAAAAGTATGGAGACAGTAAAAAGATCAGTAGCTGCCGGGCATGGTGGCTCACGAGGCCTGTAATCCCAGCACTTTGGGAGGCTGAGGTTGGCGGATCACGAGGTCAGGAGTTCAAGACTAGCCTGACCAACATGGTGAAACCCTGTCTCTACGAAAAATACAAGAAAATTCGCTGAGCGTGGTGGTGCACGCCTGTAATCCCAGCTACTCAGAAAGCTGAGGCAGGAGAATTGCTTGATCCCAGAAGGCGGAAGTTGCAGTGGGTCGAGATCACACCACTGCACTCCAGCCTGGGCGAAAGAGCAAGACTCTGTCTCAAAAATATATAAATAAATAAAATTAAATTAAAAATTAAAAAAATAAAAAATAAAAATCAGTAGCTGCCAAACTTTACAAGGGAAGGAAGACGAACAGGCAGAGTGCAGAGGATTTTTGGGGCAGTGAAACTTCCCTGTATAATACTATAATGGTGGATACATGCCATTACAAATCTATCCAAACCCACAGAATGCACACCACCAAGTATAAACCCTACTGTTAACTACGGGCTACAGGTGATCATGATGTCACTGTAAGTTCATCGATCATTACAACTTTGTTGGACAATATTGATGATGGGGAGGCTATGCATGTGTGGGAGCAGGAGGTATACAGGAAATCTCTTTACTTTCAACTCTGCTTTGCTGTAAACCTAAAACTACTCAAAATATTAAAGTCTATTATAATAAATATGTGCAACTAAAATCTCTGTACTTTCTACTCAATTTTGCTGTAAACCTAAAACTGCTCAAAAACTTAAAGTATATTAAAATAAATAAATAACTACAAATAAAGAATGTGTCTTGGTTCATATTTACTAAGTTAGAAATTGTAATTTCTTGTAAGATTTAAAAACAGGATAGGAGTTAACTCAATACCCTCAGTAATATCATCTTCCTATTAAAAAGAATATTACAAGAAGACTAAGAGGCAGGATGATAAACTTTTTTTTACTCATGATCAATATTTTAAGAAAGGGGACAAAATTAGGCAAAAATTATCATATAATACTTTGTTGAAACAAACACCTTCTAAGAACCATATTTGATTAGGTTAAGTGAAAAAAAAAAAAAGGAAAAGAAAAACAGAATAGAATTTCCATTGTTGCAATGTTCTCAAAATTTGAGCCTAATTTCTTGATAAATATAGCTAAAAGAGTAAAGCATTAAAGTCAGCATAGTGCTTTGATAACAATTAGAGGAGAGTATAATGACACAGTGTTGGTTGTTGTTATTTTAATGTAACATTTTTGTGTGTCAACAATGTGCTTCCATTTTGGCAGTGTTTCACCCAGTACAAATTCTACAAAGAATATTAGAGAGTATTTTCTTTAGACGTAGTTCACAGAATACAAATGAACATATTAAATATTGATGTTTCCTTTTCTGCAAGGTATTTTTACTTTTACAATATCTTTTATCTAATTTCTATTTT